TGTAACTATCATCTCTTTTCAGTATGTAAAAACTATTCCTTGAACAGACCAAGAAGGCCCGTGATCTAAAGATTACTACTTTGCCATTTTCGTGGTCTGCTAATAGTACAGAACAGTAATTCTGTCTCAGTAAAAAACTAGATCAAAGTGTTTCTGCTAGTGTCGTTCTTAGGTGTAGCATTTACTAGCTGCATAAAGGACTGTGCAAGTGATCCAAATACTCTTAAACATTCAGTATTTTCAGCTGCCAAAACCACTAATGGTATAGTGTCTATCAGCTAATCTAAAACAACACTTCCCCTACTATAGGAATTAAATGAGAAACTGAGAAGAGTGAAGGCTAGGACCATTCCACCTGAGCCCCTGCTGCTGGGGACTAAAAGAAATGTCACTTAGTCCAACAATTAGTGTTTTTTCAACTTCCAGGGAATATTTCATTTTATGCTGAAAGAGAGAGAAAGATAAGTTACTATCATGAACTTGTAGAGCAATGTGGCATTGAGCATCAGTAGTTTAAGGAGATTTTGTATCCAGTGTATTTTCTTTCAGTGAAGAAGGGGTTTTCGTGTAATGTGAAAGCTCCTCCCCACCCCTTTTTGTGGCTTGCCCTGGTTTTGGAAGCAGTACAGAGAAGACAGTATTTTCTGGCAAAAAAGAAGAGCATTGGAATTCACTTATTTCCTGCTTCCCCACCCCCACCCCCTGCCTTCTTTAAAGTAAATTCCATGGCAAATTAGAAACTATATGTGGATTCCAATATGTTTGAAAGTCCAAGTGAAACTTGGTGGCATGCTAAACTTCGGAGGAGCTTAAGTCAGAGACAAACAAAATATGAAAAACACAAGCCAGCGTACCTGTGAATTTATGAGAGCACCGTGATCTGTCTGCTCTTGTCTTCTTATCTTGAATTTAGCTTTACAAAGCTTAATTTACGTGAACTGCGTGGAAGCCAAGATATAAAGGGGTTTTTTTCCAAAAGGTTTAAATAGAAGAAAAAAAACTATTCAAGCAATGTTAAAGGCATAAAGTAATATAAATAAAGGCAAAAAAAAAACATCACAAGAGCTTAAAGCTTAGTTTGTCATGGTTTTATAGAAGAGTAGTGCAGGATTTGGGACAATACTTTTCCTACATTCTTTAATAGTAAGGCCCATGGAAAGAAGCCAGACTGAAATACTTGGTTCAGCTATACCAAGTTAGCATTACTTCATATTTCTGTGTTTGCTGCCTTTGTATTGATGGTAAGGTAAATGATTTTAATAAGAATTCCAAACGTTTATTAACACTTTGTGCATATGCACTGACATCAGGCTGGGCAGATGTTATTCTGTTTGTTAGTTAACAGCATTTACATGATGACTTTGTTCATATAAAATGTCATGAGAATGTGAAATATATATATAAAAAAAATAAGGAAAGCTGCATTAGAAGTGCACAGAGTGCAAGTAGTCATTCTTGGCAAAGAAAAGAGGAACACTTTTTTGAGAGAAGTTAGTCCCCTAACCTTTGAAATGCTAATGTAGGTCAATTAGAATTTTTACTACTGTTGCAACAGGACTTACACTGACATTTTTAATAGCTCCAGAATTACGAATCAGTGAATCATTACTGGTGAGAGGAAGGAATACAAAGCTGTCTGAACTTGTGGCATTGCCGTGTTGTGAAACCAAACTGGCATTTTCTATGGATTTTTTTTTTTAACGATAGTCATAACTTAAAAGTGATATGCAAAATGTTTCCATTGTAATGTGCGAAGTAATAAACTGAGCAGTCACAAAGCTTAACCTGGAAATTTCATTAGATCTATTACATCCAAAGATAGAAGTATTTATAAGTAACAGAATATTTATAAATAACAAGTACAGTTCTGTTCATCACTTCAAAACCCTGCCTGATTTTTTTCAGTACTTTGCAATATGAGCTCTTTTTAATTACAAAGAAAGTATATTTAAATAGAAGTATTGTTTCAGGAGTTTTCTAACACAATTTCACTGTAAATTCCTGAGCTATTGAGTGGGATAAATCAAAACTAATAAACATGAAGATCTAACTGAGGATGTGTAGACTGTAATTTACCATTAGAATTAAAGCTTGATTTTATTAAGAATGCTGTGCATGTTGTATGTGGTTTTTCCAACCAGTTACCAGGTTGAGGCAAGCATTGCTAATACTGCTGACAAGTTATGCGATTAAAGATGGGCTGTGCTTCCTATTGCATGCATTACACTGACACTATACTTTCTTTCCTTTCCTTTTCTCCTGTGCCATGCTTGCTGTGTAGCAAATGGAATCTCTTGCAGTAAGTCGAAGTTCTTTCATATTCTTTGTCCATCCATCGATGGACTAATACACCCCAATTTTACTGTTTTACTTCTAAGCATGTTTTCCTTTTCTGTTACCATTTTCCTGTAGAATACGTGGTTCTACATGCAGTGACTAAAATAATTTACTAAGGTGTGTTTTGTGAAATCTAAAAATACTGTGCCAAATTTCTGACACCTTCATATGCTGTTTTAAATGGTCATTTACAGAAATTTTAAAAAATCAGACCTTTGAGTGGATAAAATATGCTAGAGTGGACGATGAAATTTTTCGCTATTTTAAAATTCATAATTTTCAATTTGTGCTAATGAAAAACTGCAATTTATAGTTGACAGTTATGTTTCAAATTGTTTTTCTTTATATGTTGATGAACAGTTTCACCATTATTGGTTTCTAATACTTATTCAGGAAGAACAAAAATTGAGTTGCTTGATTCGATAACTAAATACTGAGTGAGTCAAACCTGAGTCTTCAATTTGGCCTTAGTTTGTCTTCATTGAGGTTAGTAGCCAGAAGGGTGAAACTAAATTACTGTTCTCCAAGGACTAAAAAAAAATTGTGTTACATGCCAAGCTGTCATGAGATTTATTATTTTTTTTAATGGTGTTATGCCGTGTCCTGGTTTTCAATTACTTTTTAACTCCCTGACAACTTCAAGTATATGTCTGTTAACTGCTACGTAGCGTTGCCAGTTCTCCAAAATTTGAGTAGAGTGAACATGATCCCTACTGGAGAAGCTGGGGCTGTGTCCCTGCCGGTGCACTAACCAGGACCAGGCAGCACGCATGAGTCCCCGGGCTGGCGTTGGGGTGAACGGGTCGCACCTTCCCCGGCTGGGGTGCCAGCCAGCCCCTGACATGCCCGAGCATGGTTCGAGAGAAGACCGAAGCCAGAGGCATTTCCAGGAGGTTGTATCTAAACAGTCACTCTTTATTTTGGGAGGAGAATGGTTAGCCACAGAGATGCAAGGTTGGCAGCGCTCCATGGCCTCAGTTTCAGAGAACGGCATCTGGGCAGGTTTATTTAACAGGCAGCGTCCCTCATGCCCTACCTCTTCATTCTCTTGGCCACCCGTAGGTTTTGATCCTGCCCACGAGTCAGTTCTGTCCTAGCAGGGCGCACGTCCGTTCTCTCCCTTTCTTCCCCGCCAGAGATCTGCCTGGCCCCACGGCTCCTGCGGGTGTCTTTGCTGCTGTGTCAGGTCTGGTGGGATTCCTCCCTTCCATTCAGGGCGGGAACGCTCTGACCCCGCTCACCAGAACCAAACATTGAACACACCGACTCAGATACCAGAAACAGTTTGTCCGCAACAGCACAGAGTTCAGACCAGGCAAATCCATAGCGCTGAACTCTTGCTGCTGTGGCGGACCGACGCTGAGGCGCGAGCAGCCCCGTCTGCCTGCCCTCCAGCAGGACGAGCCCTGCCAGGCCGGTGCCCGCTGGCTTGGAGTTCTCCTTCTGCTCCCGCTCTCCTCGTAAACCTCCTTCAGAAGGAGACTAGCTCTGCCTGGTTATGGCGGCGCCCTTGGCCGACTGTTCGTGGCTGGGTATGTGGTGTCCACCCCTCCCTGGCAAAAAAAGCTGAAATTTGCCAAAGAACCTCTCTTTTGACCTCAGCCTTGTCTGGCTGGTGCAGAAATTTTGGGAACTGGAATGCTAGGGATATGGTTATAATTTTGGCTTATTAATAAAACCCCTGCCACTTATATATTGAACCATATGTAAACAAACACTTAAATTAATGCTTATGATGTTTTTAAAGTACTTTTCAGTAGTGTTTGTGCTGGCATTTGCAACTGACCCCAATTCAGCAAATAGTTAAAGTATGTGCTGGTAGCTAAGCATGTATGAAGTGCTTTAAGGAAGCAAGGTCATTAATAGCATCTTCTTCTTTTCTGCCATATTTGGCATGAAACTCTGCTCTAGTTCCTGCAAGCAAATGGAAGGATCACTGAGCCCACCCTTGGTCACTGTGTCTGTAAGAGAAGACAAATCAAATACGGTTTGAAGTCTGTAAGGCTTTCCTGCCAAAGGCTCGGGAGGCCTCCTGACTGGAACTTGTCAAATTTTCACTTTTTCCATTATTTGCCAGAGATTAAACATTCCTCCCTTCCCCACCATTATCCAGCTGTGGAACAATGAAATTCCCCCTCCTGACAGACACGCAGATACCGGGACCATGAGCATATTAACTGGACTTCCCTGGCAGACGTGCCCATCGCATGTCACTTCAATGTGTCTGACACCTCGTGTCTGGTGCTGTGCAGTACACTGGAAGGAACAAGTTATTATTCATGGAACGGTACCTGCTTTATCTGGGAGAATAAACTGTAGAAGCCAGATTTTTAATGTTCTATGCAGCAAAGTCATTTCCCCTGTATTCTGCTTCCCAGCTGCAAACTGGAGACAGTGAAGCTAACCTATATAAACTGCTTTGAGATCGATGCTGACATGTGCTACATGAGAGCTAGACATTATAATTCTGATTTTCAATGTCCTACATGACTTACCTGCAGAAGAACGAACCTTACTTGTTTTTTTAAATAGTGTATGATAATACTTGGGTAAAATATTTTTTGAAGAACTGAACTATCTCATTGTGTTTTATTACTTATTGAAAATTATCTGAACTCATTGATCTTTATTAATTATTTCTTCTCCTACAAATCTTTCCTTAGCAATTGGAACTGTGTCAGAGATTATATAAACTGCACTTCCAGCTGCTGTTGCTTTTTCAGTCCTACTGTAAACTTATTGGACAAGTGCATGAAGTCAGTTCCATGCCAGAGGTATGTAACAAACTACAAAGTCTTATATTGAAAATACCACTTTACTTTCATGTTCTTATTTTTATTTCTATGGACTTAAACCAAAGATTACACTATTTCACCCTGAATATAAGTCTGCAGACAAAGCCCTTCAATACACCAGCATCCACATTAAAATATAGTCAAGATGCTGTATTTGTTGTAATTGACTGTACTTTCAGAGACTGGGATCTGATATAAGGATCTGATCTATGATACATGGAATCTTAACTTCATTCACACACTTTAAATGTAAAGAGGGCTTGCACATCTGCATGTGATTTATTTTTATTTTAATTGAGGCCTTAATTTTTAGGGAAAATGAGCTGCCTTCACACATACAGAAAATAGCCTTTTCCTAGATCGTGACTGATTTTATCTGAACTTTGTGGAGACACTTAGACCAGTAGCACTTGTTAGCATGACAATAACAAACTAATTTGGTAAATTAATCTTAATATGGATGCAAAATTAAGGTTTTTGCTGGAATAATGTGTTGTAATTTCCAGCCGTATAAACTGTCTCCATTGCATGTGCATTATATTAGAAACGTCTGCAGCAGTTTTTGACAAACAGCTATTAAATGGTTTTGCATTCTCTCATACTTGAGCAAGCAAAGGTGTGTAGTGTAGAACCATTTTATAATTTGACTGCAAGTGTACCACTCAATCTTGTTCTCTGAATAAACAAAGCAAAATGAGTTTAATGTTTCCAAAGAGTATTAAATATATTTTAAATATATAATTAACTAAATACCTTAATGTCATGAGATTTTTTAATTATGTGATTTTTACAAGCTTTCTTCTTTAAATATTTTTGACACAGCATACTATTGCTTTTGACCCAAATATCTCTCTGTTTTTAGATAAATCTATATATCTAACTGTAAAAAACACTTCACAAGAACATTACTGTTAAGAGTCAAATTTATTTTCAGCAATTGCATCAAATACGTAATACTTTGAAATATCTTTGAGGTGATCACTTTAAGTGGAATGATCTTCATTTAAGGAAAGATGGTAAAATATATATTCCATATATATTTTTCTCCTGGTAAGGTGTATATGTTTTAAACTATTGAGGGGTAGACGTTTTTGTACTTTGCTTGTAGCTGTAAAACAAAATGTCAAGCTATAAAATGTATTTTATGACAGATTCTAGTAGTTTACAGATTGCCTCTAAACAGAAGTGGTTTGTTTTATCAGTTGGTGCTCTAGTAGTACAAGGAGTTTCAATACTTAGTGTATCTTAAGGAACAGCTCTGAAGGCTGGCTTGTAGTGTGACTGGGCTGTTCACTTTTAAGAGAAGACAGGACAGTAGGCATGTAGTCTTAGAATAGCCTAAATTTTAGAAATATTTTGTGTTCCTTAGAAGATAATTGATTTCTGTAACTGTATTTCACAGTTCCAATTTTGTTAGATTGTTATAAATAATGCAGCCTATGGACCTGGGGAACAATAATGTAGGAATAGCTGTTTCACCATGAAATTCACATATTTTTCTAGAGCCATAAGCTATTATTTAAAGGAAGTTCCATTGTTAGTTCATGTGACAGTGGTTATTTTTAGCAGGTGTGAGCACAAAAAGTTCATCTTTATCAATGAAATGTTGACTTGTGAATTACTGATGAGCCTTGTGCCGTATTAACTTTTCGGCCTGACAAAGGGTTATACAATTCCTGTCCATCTGTTAATCATAGAAGATCCTGCATTTGTTTTGTAAATAAATAACAACATCACTGCTAAGAGAAGTAAATGTTTAGTTAAACTTTTCCACTATGATATGAAAAAAGTTGCAGGGTGAAAAATAAAAGATTGTTTAGATGTGCTCTTGCATTTTAACAAGCCAAAAATACAACATAGGGTTAAGGGAAGCTTAAAAATCTGTAGTTTGTGTTTTTCCTATATTGTACAGTGCACAGAGATCAAGAAACGTCCTTGTGTTAAAAGGGGGTGTTTTCCGTAATGTGTACATCTAATGTAGTAGTAGGAACAGACTTGAAATACCTGCTCCCTTTGGTGCCTATGGAGAATGAAAATACCCATCTCCCATCTCTCTCCTTGGAACAGCTGTTAAATATGTCAAGAGAACTGAGTGAGTTGAAGAAAAATCTGAAGGACGCTACTGCTGCAATCGCAGCTGAGCCTCTGACGACGGAATCTGAGCCCACATTCAATTCTACGGAAGCAGCTATTCAGTCCATGCTGGAGTGTTTGAAAAACAATGAACTTGTTAAAGCTGTCCGGCAAATAAGAGAATGCAGGCAAGTTTTGCTACATGGCTCATATTAGACTTTCACATTAATAGAAGAGCACGCATTTACTATCTTCCTAACTTCATACTAAATGTAATGTGCTGGGTCAGCATAATTAATTTATTATGTTTCAACAAGGTACATGGGGGCATTGCTATTATTAACTTTTGCAGGGGTGTGCCACAAGTAACAATATCAAATCAGTAATACAAACATGTATGCTTGCAACAATGAAGATGTTTAATTACATTGCGTAGATCGAAAGTACTTCTGTGTGGCTCTTAAGAATCTTTTTATAGAGCTAATTCCTTACAGCTGTATATCACTGGCATCAGCTAACATTCAGCCCAGTTTCACTTACACTTATTTGAATGAGTTTTCTTAAGCTTTTTTGTTTCTAGATAATAGGAATTGCGCTTTTATGTGATGTCTGTGCCTAATAACAGAGTCTGAGTAACAAATGAGTAGCATAAAACAGTGAGTTGCTTTTGGCTTATAAGCGTGTGTGAGTCAGTTCTCCTTTTAGAGATCTCTATCACCTAGTTTCCGTCTGCGCTAATACACCCATAATGATACGCACATTCTTTCCCTGTTTGATTGCAGGATTTTGTGGCCCAATGATATCTTTGGAAGTAGCTCTGACGATGAAGTCCAGACACTACTGAACATTTACTTCCGGCACCAAACCTTGGGTCAGACGGGCACCTATGCACTGGTGGGCTCCAACCAGAGCCTGACTGAAATCTGTACCAAATTAATGGAACTGAATATTGAGATCCGCGACATGATTCGCAGAGCTCAGAGTTACCGGGTCATCAATACTTTTCTTCCAGACTCCAGCATTTCCGGCACAAGTCTCTGACAGGACTCTTGTGTCCTCTTTCGAGCTGGGAGTGCTGCCCTGTTGGAGTGAGGTGGCTCAATGTCTTCTCAGCCTTACAAAGGTTTGGTCAAACTGTACTCACTCTTGTTACATTTAAGATTTCTTCTAAAAAGATATGGGCTGAGCTTCAAATGTGTAGCAATACTGTAAGGACAAAGGTAGCGTAGAGCATCTGGAACAACATCCTTTGTTCTCTGTTGCACAAAAATCAGTTAGCATTTCACTGAGCAATTGCAACTCACTACTGAAGAAGTGACTTCCATTGCATACCAAAGCCTACTACACTGAACAATACTTCCTTTATAGCAAATTAATTTTAGGTTGGCAAAAGTGCAATGTTTCCTTCACAAAATAATATTTTTTGTTTAAAAAAAAACCAACAAACTTTTACATGTTTTCCTTTTTTCTTTTATTCGGTTGAGTGAAAGATGGGCAGAATGAAGCTGGCCACCGAATCTTGCAAACTTGTTGGTCAAAAGCTGAGAGCCTGTGTATATGAAACAAATTGTAAATGGACTACAGTTTAATGTACACTGTAATTTGAATATGATTACTGTATCTGAAAACAACGAGCTGCTATGAAGTACATTTCCTAATGTTACTAGGCTACTGTCTCTGAAGGTACTGGATCATATTGCAGAGGTCTGTTCTTAGGCCCCCAAGCATCATGAATGGTCTTGGTAGATTTTCTTTTTTTTTGTTGTTTTTAAAGGACCTTGGCTGCTTTTTACTAGAGGGTTGCTTTTATGAATATATTTATACTATTAAAGGACAGTTGATCTAATTTAACTTGCCATTTTGTAGGAGAAAGTCCCATCACACAGTCAAATCTTTTGAACTGTTATGCATGCATATTTTTATTTAATACAAATTTTGAGTATAAAAAGTAAAAATATTAACGTGAAATGCAAGTTCTCATGTTAAGTTTCTTTAAAGAGATGTCTTATTTTATTTGTATTGTATATATAAAAGTCATACCTGTATGTTTTTTCTTACATTTAACTGCTGTCCAGTGTTAAATGTATGCATGTAAATCTGTTGCACATCTGAGACACTTTTATTCTGACAGCTATGTAACTTATTCACTCTGTAAATACACTTAACCGTTTTTGTGAAGTAACTTTGGTTGATATTTGGCTCAGTACATCCATTTAACTAAAATATAAAAGTCATATATAATCACAACAGAGTATGTGCTTGTTATGAGGACTGTGTTCTTGTCTGAATCTGTACTGCTCTGGATGGTATCAATGGTCGGCCCAAAAGACACCTTTTTCATCGTTTATGGTGTTCATTGCACTGAAAGAAACCAGTGAGAAATCTAAGGATTTTTTTGTCAGTCTGTAGGTACAGGAAGAGGGGGCTTATAAGATGGGGACAGACTTTTTAGCAGGGCCTGTTGCCATAGGACAAGTAGTAACGGGTTTAAACTAAAAGAAGGCAGATTTAGACTACATATAAAGAAGAATTTTTTCCCAATGAAGGTGGTGAACCACTGGCACAGGTTGCCCAGAGAGGTGGTAGATGCCCCATCCCTGGCAACATTCAAGGTCAGGTTGGACGGGGCTCTGAGCAACCTGCTCTAGTTGAAGATGTCCCTGCTCATTGCAGGGGGGTTGGACTAGATGACCTTTAAAGGTCCCTTCCAACCCAAACCATTCTATGATCCTGGGAAGAGTACATCGACTAAAGCATTTTCATAACTGAAAAAAATCCAGAGCTGAAGAATTGTTTCTGTTAAAAACATCAGCAATGGTCCTATTCATTCCAGCGTTGGGTTTCAGTGGGTTTTTCCCTCATGCTAGAGGAAGAGCTGTCCAGCCTACTGTATCAGCCTCAGCTCTGAGAATCCAGTAAAGCTCTCTCCCCTTCACCTCTTTTTAATTTTCAAAATGCTTGCACAATTTTACATGGATCTTGAAAAATATTTGTATTGATGCATAAAAGGGGCACAATCGACTTCTTTTACAGGTTGTCTGATTTTGCAGTCCACAGAGCTCTGCAGCACAGTTATAGCTGTGGGACAAAATAGATGCAAGGCAAATCACACAGCTATTTTTCTGAGTAAAATAATCTGCAATGGTCAGAGAAGTTTTCAGATTTCAGTTATGTATTTCACTCTTGAAAGCTATTCAGAACTGTAGTTGTGGTCTGCAAAAACTTTAGTGGTTGGTAAAAGCTGAGATCTGCTCCGTCACTTAGCAAAATCATGGATATTTTACAGATCACAGAATCCCAGGAAAATTCAGGTTGGAAGGGACCCAGGGAGGTCATCTAGTCCAGCCTCCACTTTGAGCAGGGTCAGCCATGAGATCAGATCAGGTCCTGAAAATATTCAAGGATGGAGAGTGCACAGCCTCCCTGGACAACCTGTTCTACTTGACTGCTCTCATGGTAGAAAAGCTTTTCCTTTATCCAGTCTGAATCTATCTTTTTTATCTTATGCATGTTGTCTCTCACCCCCCTACCATGAGCCACATTGAAGGGCCTGGCTCCATCTTTCCTCCATAACCATAACCTGGCAGGCTACGTCCCACTGAAGTCTTTGCTTCTTCAGACTAAGTCCAGTTCCCTCAACGTCTCCTCACAGAGCAACTGCTCCAGCCCTGTGACCAGCTTGGTGGCCTCCACTGAACTCCTTACAGTTGATCAACATATTTTTCATATAGACAGCCCCAAACTGGATACCATAACCTAAATGAGGCCTAGCGAGAGCTGAGTAAAGGGTGACAATCGCTTCCCCCACTCCGCTGGCTCTACTTCTGTTCATACAGACCATGTGTAACCAGGAGGTCGAGAGAGGTTATCCTCCCCCTCTTCCCTGCACTGGTGAGGCCTCATCTGGAGTACTGTGTCCAGTTCTGGGCTCCCCAGTTCAAGAGAGACTCTTTCTTTTGGAAAGAGTCCAGCGGAGGGCTACGAGGATGATTAAGGGACTGGAATATCTCTCATATGAGGAAAGGCTGAGAGACCTGGGGCTGTTTAGTCTGGAGAAGAGAAGGCTGAGAAGGGATCTTATCAACGTCTATAAATCTCTGAAGGGTGGCTGTCAGGAGGATGGAGCCAGTCTCTTTTCAGTAGTGCCCAGTGACAGGATGAAGGGCAATGGGCATAAACTGCAGCACAGGAAGTTCCACCTCAACGTGAGGAAAAACTTCTCTACTGTGAGGGTGATGGAGCACTGGAACAGGCTGCCTAGAGAGGTTGTGGCGTCTCCTTCTCTGGAGACCTTCAAAACCCGACTGGACGCATTCCTGTGCAGCCTGCCCTGGGTGATCCTGCCTTGGCAGGGGGGTTGGACCACATGATCTTCAGAGATCCCTTCCAATCCCTACCATTCTGTGATTCTGTGATACAGCCCAGGATGTTGTTGCCACCCTTTGCTGCCAGGGCCCACTCTTGGCTCACACCCAGCTCACTGCCAACCAAACCCCATGAACATTTTCTGATGAGCTGCCCCCCAGCCACACAGTCCTCTATCTGTGTCCTGCAAAGGGTTCTCTCCATCCAGGAGATTCCCTTTGTCCCTGCTGAGTATCACAAGGCTCAAGCTGTCCCATTCCACCAGGCAACCAACATGCCTCCAAATGGTCACACCACCCTCAGCTGTATTGTCTGGTCCCCCCAGTTCAGTGTCACCTGCAAACTTGACAGGTACACTCTGTTGCCTCTTCCAGGTCACTGGTAAAGACGTAGAACAGGACAGGTCCCAGGATAGACCACCTGCTGTACACCACTTGTTACTGTCCTGTAGAGTATAATCCATTGAGCAACGTGATACAATTGGCCCTCCACTGAGTATAAAGACCTCCAGAGGTTCCTTCCAACCTAAAGTATTCTGTGATTCTTCACAGATACAATAAAACCCATGATGTAACCATCTAGCTTCCTTAGCATCATATCTAAACTTCAGGTAGAGTAGAAATTAGTATATTCCCAACTCACTGAAGTCCTCGGACAACATGAACTGCAGTAATGCCCCACTGTGCTTCTACAACAGCAGGAGTTTTACTAGGATTGCCCTGACTGCATTTTGTCCCCAGGAAAGGGCATTTAGTTATATTTAAGCCATCTACCCTGGAGTTACCTTACAAGACTGGAAAGCTTCTCAGGTAGAAGCCTTCATTTGAATTGGGGGCACAGTGACTTGTTCTACCTCTTTCAGGACACATTAAGTGTAGCAAATTTGTTATACTGGCACAGATACCCCAGCTCAAAGGTTTTTTCCCCTTCTCACTTGGAAAACAGGTAGCTTACACTTTTCCCTTGTATCTTACAGACATAGTCTCTGGTTATCTGAAACTGCTGTTTGATTTTATTTTTTTTAGTACATTTGACAAAGGCAGTGGGAAGACACACTTGCACGTGTATTTACCTCAGACTTTATGCTTCAGAACATTTATTTGCATCTTCCACACTAGTTCAGTTTGAGTGACTACAGAAAAACTTGCTGTTGCAGTTTTAATCTTAGCATTCCCTAAACACAGATTAAAAAGAAAACCTGTTTTCTGTAGGGAATCAAATAGGTTCTCTTTCCTTCTAGATATACTTTCCTCTTTCATCACAGCAAGATGAAACTGAGGGGTAACAAACTAGCACAAACCTTTATTCACAGCATATATACAATGAAGTTAAATACTTTATAAATAATACAAAACTCTTTAGCCATTTTCCAATGCCAGGTCAAAAGCCTAAAGTCAAAACATTGCAAGAGACTGACAAAGTGCAAAGCACAGAACAGAAGAGGGCATAGGGATCAGACAATGTATTTGAAGCTGTAAGTGTTATCACAGGACAGCCTCTTGCCTTTGCAGCGGCCACAAAGTTCTTGGCGATGAGGTCTCTTGAAATCAATATGTCTTTTCTTCTGAGGGCAGGAACAACGAATCTTCAAACAGGTCTTAAGAAACAAGGCATTTTATTAGTAATAGATCAAGGGTCCTCACTTCATGTTAGACATTTAGTTTTTCTTAATCATAGCAACACATTTGGGCTCATACACTTAGAGGAGCTCTTGCAGTAAAAACCCTGTGGAGTTAAGCTCCAAGAGCTTTCTCACCTAGAGGTATAAAACCCCACACTACATGCAGCTGTTCATAACATTATGAACTGAAAACCATTCTCATAAGCCATCTGCAGGAGGATGGAGTCCTATCCCATTATCCCTTTCACAAATCACATTTCCTAGTACTTTGATGAAAGCAATTTCTCTTCTTGATAAAGTCAATATCAGATTCAGCAGCTGTAAACTATTAGAGTATATGACAAACTCTGGCAGTCTTACCAGGATACAGAAACCTGTAACTTACCTGGCACTGGATTGCTTCCACTCGATAGGGATTGAAGCCCTTCTGGCATTTGCGACAGAGCTGCTTGAAGTACACCTGAAAAAGGCAAGTTCTCAGTTACTATAAAGACTTACTCGGGGTGTTCAGTACAGGTACCTAAATTTGTGCCAAAACATCTGTCACAGATTTGGTACCATTCATTTCCAAGTCTCAGGAACAAGAAATTACTTGTTAACTACCTTGTTGCTTCCAGAAATGC